CCTTCTAAGAGTCTACAGTACATCCTTGCATGGACAACTGAGGTGTGATTGGGAGGCTTCCCTGGGTTGAAATAAACAGAATATTTACCAGCCATACTAAGCAAAAAAAAACACTTTTGGACTCTTGACTATATTTTAGCTTAGCTTAGCACAACAAGGTAAATTCTCGTTCCCCACAAACCAAACTATCAGGTAACCCAGAGGTACACTGCAGGCTGTATACTATTTGATCAAAACTCCTATGATTTTGCAGGTTTTTCTCACAAAAGCCCCTTGCCCCATTTTATAAGGTTTACATACTATATATTGTACATATATCTATCAGCTGGGCATTGATTAGCTCTGCCAATACCTGTGGCTTCTGATGAGTAACTACTCTTGGTCTACATAAGAGTCACTGTGGGCCACCTTCAATGGAAACTTCAGTTGAATAGCCCACACAGGGATGCAGACTCCCTGACAACCCCATTAGACAGCTGTTAATCCAATAACAAAATCTTGCTGCATGTAAATTTGCAAAGGAGATTTTTGAAGAAACCATACTGAGTGAAACAAGAAAAAAAATATTTTCTTCAAATAAAAAAAAAAGGTTCCAATCTCTTTTGGAATTTTATAACATTCAAAAATAAATACAATTAACACCTTAAAGGAATGTACCTGTATTACATAGTGTACAGAGTTGTTTTTTGTGTCGATCACATTAATTCTGCAAAACAGGTTATGAGAAATTATCATTTTTTCTTGCATTTTTGTTGGGAACTTAACAAAAGAAATGTTGATGCCTGTCATAAGAATACACTTGTCGCCGCTGTTATCTGTGCACCAAAAGAAGAGCTCAGTGATTTGGCCCTTCTGAACCCATGTCTTATATCATCAGCCAGGCCATTGTCTGCAGTGATTTATCATGCTCATACCTGAATAGCACAGTGGAAACAGTGTGAGACAGCCTCATCTCCATAGCAGGTCTCTTATCAGGCTTACAGAATGACTTGTCTGCTGGGAATGAAAGCTCTGTTTGGGCTTTGGGGACAGTCATCATGCCATGATGCCAAGCGGAAGAAAGCTTTCCACTGCCAAGCAGTTCATTCATACTGAATCGCATAAAGAGCTGTATCTCTGTTTTTATATTTTCTATGAACAAAGAGGTCAGTCTAATCCAATCAGTAGTGCTTAAAATAATAGCATAATTAAAATGTCAAAATAACAACAGAAAGACTACAAAATAAACTGTGCTGTAGCTTGCCAGAAAAAAATCTTTTAAACAGAAGTAGATGCCAATACATTGTTAGGTCCGTCAACTTGTCGTCAGCGATTTATCTACAGCTAGATCCAAACTCCATTAAGTTCAGGTTTTGCTGTCCGTCTAATGAATGGATTTTCCACCTGTAAGTAAAGGTTTATAGATTCAAACCTGACAGTCTTACTCCTCGATCTCATGACTCATTTTCCTAGAGATTCCACATAGAATGCTGACCTAAAATCTTTTTGAATTAAAGGTTAAGAAACAGTGACTTTCTCCAGAGCAACACAGGCAAAAATGTCCTTATTGATGGACATCTTGGAGACAGGAAGACAACCATGCCTAGGCTGCTGATTAACAGTGAACGCTCAACACCGTCTGCCATTTTTATCAAGTCACATAAGCCCTTTCTTTCGGTGACAGCACTCACTGTCTGACTTCTTTATGGAATTATTCAGTCATTTAGGCTGACCTTTTTTCACTAGACCAAGTCAAAATCTAGCACATATGACACAACCATCTTAACCTAACTGAAGCAGTCATAAGCTGAAAGTTAATAAAGACTTTTCCTATATTATGTGATATTTAATTGAAGACTGTTTATGAAAAGAATAAAGCCACATTAAGCTTCCATAGCGTGTGCGAATCTTTAACACTGTACCACAAACAAGATAAATGCCAGAACTGTAGCTTAAAGGGTGTACAGTATTTTTTATTTTTTACTGTAGAATGCAATGGATTTTAACTTGCTGTTTAAGGTGAATATCAGTGCAATTAAGCTATGTGATCACGTCACTACGAATAAGACAACCAACAACAGTAATAAAGAAAAATCAATAGAAAACAAGAATTAAAGAAATCCTGCCACCAAAGGACCAGATTCGACATCTACCCACACCACTCAGTCTTATTATTTATTGCATAGCACTGATACAGTATATCTCAAAGCCTTCAGGCTGATCCTTGCCTGCGATTCCGGAACACTCTATTGCTCTGCTTCTGATAAACTAAATTGGTAGTAAATTTTACTGGCAAACTCACTGTCATCTGTGATGTCAAGGAAATGTCTGCATCTCACCAGATGAAAAGATTATAGCATGACATCCCATTAATGATCTGAAATGTACTGATCATTCAACACAGTGGATGCCAACTGTGAACAAAACCCTGTGTTGAAAATCAAATCTGATGGTTTTCCACTGGGCCTATGCACAGCTGCAATGTAGTTTCCCAACAGGGGCTTTTCCTCTGCTCTAATTCAATTCCCAAGCAGTTCAGAGGATCCAAAGGCTTGAAGCATCACTGCATCAATCCTTAACAGTGCACTTTATTATGAATTTTCATGTTTTTGAAGATCTCCACATTTTAATATCTCATTTATCTATGTGCATTCCATGTTATTAACCTTCTTGTCAGATTACGGCTTGCCATATTGATTACCAACAACAGAAATATATTTCAATGTCGATTTAGAGCACCTTAGTGGGAGAACAAATTAACACCATATTCCTGCTCTGACACCTGTACGCGAGCATGATTACTTGTCTTCCAGCACTTTCAGTCAAGAAAAAGCTATTATATAATATAGGCTATTTTTGACATTTTTGATTCTTTGGAAAAGAATGTCAGAATGTACAGTTACAATTAGAAATAATAATATCACTAATGCTTAATGCAGTAAAGTTTGAAGCAAGCAAGAAATAGAGGTTATGGAATGTATTTTTAAATGGATTATGTCTGGAGCATGTGTGTCTTTCACATGCTTCAGTTTTGACTGAACGTAAACATTGCACCAACAATGATCTAATGAAGAATTTACATCCCATTTCTCCTGGGCTATGCTAAATAGGAAGAGGAATACCTTGGGATATATTTAGCAACTGTTTTATTCCACCAAATTTAATTGTCTACCATATTTTGATTCTTTTTTATATAAATTCTGTGTCATTTTAATATTCTTATTCACTCAAAAACCTCCTTGGTAGGTTTCCAGGCAGAGGTTCCTTTTGAATAATTCATTAAATGTATAAGTAAAGACACAATTTGTCTTTAATAGCTCACATATATATCTGAAATAATTATTTAAAAAGAGTAACCCAGATCTGTACTGGGTTGATCATTTACAAGATCAAAATCAGAATAAATTTGAAATGTTCTAATTAGTGTTTAGCGCTGTTCTTGCAAAAATCTTATGCAATTCATTACACATTTGCAAACTTTATTTCAGATGTTTCCAACACGTTTTTCTGTGTGACCCTTAAGAGCAAAGCAATTCATTTTCCCCACTTGCATTCTTTTAATTGGTGCTTCGTTAATTCCTGTCAACTCTGCAACTTCTTTTTTTATAATTAAGAATTTAATTTAGTTCAGTTTCCAAAACAAACACTGCAAATATCAAAGATGCCTTTTTCTGTCTCCCATTTTATGAGATTCCTTGAACACATAGTGTTACTTTTGAAACTTAGCAAACTTACTTTCTTTCAAAGAATGTTTTAACATTCATACAAGACTGGTTTAATTAAGTAAATTAAATACAAATGTCACTTTGTATTTCAAATACCTGCCCAAAGAAGTCCACACTAATATTTCTTTTAAAAATACTATACTTCTTTTAAAAAATCCTGTGGCATAGTACTTGCACACATACAAAAGATGAAAGGGTGAAACACTTATTCACATATATGTGTGAATTTCTGGAAGCAAATTCATTAATTATCTAGCCACAATGGCTTGTCAGAAGAAAACCTTAGCAGTGTTAAAGGGTACTTCCTTCCTGACTTAAATCCAATCATAATGTCAAATGCTTGTTACAGGTGTATTCAATTTAAACAAAAAAGTGAAAGACAAAGGCTTCATTAAAAATGTGTCATGTACTGTAAAGGAATCCAAAGTCACACAATATGTATTAATGTAAATAGCAGACTAAACTTTTTAAGTCAGGGGATACTTTGACAGAAGTATAGTGACTTCCACTATAGAAACACTGAACTCTACAGTGGGACCCAGCAGTGCCCAGGTATAGCGATGAAAATCATACTCTGTCAACAGTACTTACTTACTCAAGAGTCAGGTGAAATATCCATGCATACACATATCAATTTAGTCTGTTTTGTTTTTTTCAGCATTACAGTACTCTGCATTAGGTTCCCACCGTAAACAGACAAATTAAAGGCTAATCTTTTTTTACAACTAAGTTCTACTTCACAAACTATATTTATAAGGTGAAATAACAATTTTGTACCTAATAGATTGGGAATGAAATCCCCCAGGAAGAAGACCAAACACTGATGATACCCCATGTAAAGTATAAACAAAACTCTAGACATACCATTATTATTGTCTTTGAAACCTAATGCATATCTATGCTGTATATCTGTCCCATTCATTCCACAGTACACATTTATATTGAGAAGACACTCTGTTTTGCCCAGTGTTATGAAAAAGCCTGTCAGAATTTATTGGAAAATTATTTTTAGCATACTTTCCATGGCTCAAGATAATAGTACCCTGTTATGACCTTATTAAGAAACAACAGTGTGGAATCACTCTTTACAAATAGTCTACATGTGGTCAATAACCTAAATAAAAATCACAAGATAGTACTCATTGCTGCAAACCTGTATGAGTGCCTTTAAGCACTATGACAAATCATCAGTCTAAATTGAATTCAGGCGCTTCCTTCAACTCCTTAACACTCAGACCCTTCCGTCCTAATGGGGAATGTTAATATCCAATAAATTCAAATGACGACTCAACCTACCTCATCGTTATTTTTCTTGATCCAGTTCTTGACAGTCTCAAGGGCAATATCAGCAGCTGGCTCATTAGGAAAGCCTAGAATTAAAGTCAAGAAACATCACAATTTAAATCACTCATAGAATTACAAAAACCCATACACAAGTACAATACAGTCTTTTGAAAAGACACTGTATTTGTTTAATTGATCACGATGCTGGCACATTCTAATCCAGGCATAAGAAACCTCTCGTATGGAAGTAGCTCATATAGAAGTTCCGGAAGCTGCATCTAGGATAAAGCAGAATATGAAAATGTACAAATGATGCAGGGCAATTTGGACCAATTTGACAATTGGGCTGTTAGGATTTAGTTGATACAAGTTTCTTGAAAGAAGCCAAGTACCTACTGGTCCAGTTCATGTTTCACTGCTGATTCTAATGTTTTATTTTGTCAGTGTTTGAAGATTCTGAATAGTTGAATCAGGTTTCATTGTAGTCTTTTTAATTAAAAAATAATAATTTATTTTGCTCTGTTCATCTTAATTCATTTAAGTGTGGGAATGTTGCTAGTTTTTCTAATATGGGTTCCAGAGCAACGTTATCGTTTTTGGCATCAAAATCATACACAGTATTCTAAATGAGGTCCTACTGGCACATTATGCAATCTTAACATACAGTAGCTGTTCCTCCAAAGCAGATGTAAAGGGCCTTAAACTGCCGAGATAGGTTGAGGTTAAAAGATTGAAGGATGAGAGTATAGCTGTTTTTTGTTTAACAAACACACAATGTGCGGGTTCCCTCCAGGTGCTCACGTTTCCTCCCACAGTCTAAAGACATGTTAGCTAGTTAACTGGTTCCAGTAAAACTGCTCCTGGCATGAGTGGGCGTGTGCTCTGCAATGGACTGGTGGCCCATCCAGGGTGTATCCCACCTTGTATCCAACGTCCCCCAGGATAGGCTCTTGGCAAACTTGACTGAATTAGATCAGCGGTTATTAAAAGCGATGGTGAAACATGCAATTTTAAAGATGAGGCTGTTCCTCCCAAGTAAGAGGTCACAAACATACCACGGAGAGAAGTGAGAGCTGAGAGGAAGGAAAAGAGTGACATACTTGATTTTGAGTTTCTAAATGATGAACTTAAGCTTGAAAAAGAGTTGTCAGCTCCCAACGCTTTAACTGTAGAAAAACCGTTTTGAAGTATAATCACTGAGGAATTTAAAATGTTTTGATCCTTTCAGTGTTTTATTCATAGACGTGCACTTTGAAATTTTAATTGCAGAGCACATGAAGCTAACAGTGTAATACACTGAAGTGCAAATCATGCTGCGAGAAATGACGGCAAAATCTAAAATAAAAATCATGTACTCTGAACGCTGAGGGGTCTGACTGATTACTTTGGACCAAATACACAACACAGCTGCTACATGTACTCAAAAAATATATTCAATGATGAATTAAGACATTTCCACATCTGAGAGGAAAAGACAATCACGTTCAGCCACCAGTATCTATTCCATTTTATGTTGCTTTAAGGTGCAACGGTAAAATAAGCTTTTACTGCACAGTATTAATGCATTTTATATTTTTTATTAATCTCATTTAAGAGTTCACCATGCGTCCATCATACCCAGCCCCACCCCCAGTGTGGCAGCTCTTTGTTTTATAATAGGGGGTTCTGATTTCCTTGTTCACATTGGAAGTCTTCACTCAAAACATGGGACGTAAAATCAAACAAATCGATGAATGCTCTTTATCACTATTGCACTATTAGCATTTGAGATAGATTTTCCATATCTTCTGAAGGGAAATTAGTCAAATCTCTGACATTTCAGAACTGGGCATAAGAAGAAGAGGGTCCCGGACGGCTCATTTGTTTTCTTGATTAACTGTTGGGGTAGCCAGGATAACTTCACACTGAGTGCTAAAAGTTGGAAGAACTTTAAGTGTGTTGGAAAATTACTTACAGTGCAGCCCTGTGGAAAAACAAAAAAAAAATGCAGATATACAAATGTTTCAGTGATATCTGTTGAGTGGAACATTTGGTCATAGGTCACTCAACAGACCATTTCTAATGACCTTTATTATTATTTATTGTGACTCCTAAATTCATTTACCCAACCAAACTAAACCTATTGAGATGCATTGATCCAACAGAGATTTACAGATCTGGTCATGTATGAATAGGTGATCCTGAATGTTGTCTTCCTTTTCTGCACTATTCTACTGCCATAATGAAAAAAAAGTAATGATGTATTGATCAGCATACTGAAGGAACTGTAGTGTTAAATGCTGTATTAATCACAACAGTTTTACCAAGGAGTGGCGAGAAATGCACCCTCTGTGTTAACACACTGTATTGATCAAGTATAAATTGATTGAGAGGGGATTAATTTTTAATAAGGCCTGGGATGCTTTGCTACAACCAGCAGTCAGGATTTCTTTCCAGCCTGAACTGTACTGACCCCGTTCTGATAATAACCCAACAAGAATGCACTGGAGATCAGGGGTTCAGGGATGGGCAGGAGAAGGCAGATGCGGAGAGATGGAACTGTTCTTTAACACTGCATTTGTCAAGCTCCCAGCCTCTCACTCTCCCGTCCTCACATTTCAACACAAACCAATCTACCAAACACACGAGGGAATCAAATTACTTGAGAGCCGCAGCGCGCGCTCTCAAGGAGCCTCCCAGTTAAGTGATTTCTTGAGCAGCAGCTCAGACAATTTTGACAAAGGCTCAATTCGACAAAAGACAGAAAACGGGCAAAGTAATAAGATGGGCTTGGGCTTGGCTACAGCAGGCGAGTACGTGTGGGGAATACCGAGGAAGCCAACTGAAAGCTCTGGCCAGCACCGGTACAGTGAATGCAGGTTTTAAACAGGCTGTCAATAATTTTGCTTGGAGGCCAAGTAAAAAGAATGAATCCCCTCTTGTATTTTTAGGGCTTTACAGTCTCTTACGTAGTTTTAAATTGTTTTCATTACTATCTTCCTTTTCACACAGTGTGATTAATCAGTCCAGCAACTCCTGGATTTCACTTGAACCCAGTAATTTACATTACTTAATTGAGCCAATTAAATAACTAATTTTTCAAATTGACCAAATGCAGGCCCCTACTAGAAGGCTGCTCACTACTGTTAACCCTATTCAGGTTTCCCTTTAGAATAAAACATTCAGCCCAGGAAATTCTCACTAAAGGAAGGTTTGCCTACTTTTTGTTCCAAACTGCCATATAAAACCCATATTAAAATTACAGAGAAACGATAACAATTTTTTAAACATTTATTGTACTTATCAGCATTCACTTATTATTCTGTTGATATTGGCTACATTAATTTGTGAATTTTGTTTTAAAGAGCTCTCTTTGGGATTTCCCCAACAGAAAAGGAACTATTTATGAATTATGACTAAAAAACTGTTTTAGTTTTATCAGGTGGTAGAGCACCTAGTCCTTAAGATTTCCATGTTTAATGTGGATTCACAGCTCTGTAAATGCTACTGTTTGGTTTCTGATTTTGAGTTGCCATTCGTTTGCCAACAAGAAATGTTGTAATATCTCTATTCCATATCCTTCAAGTGGACAGCGAAATAAGCTTTTCTGTTTCTTCCTGGTTCCTGCCACAACAGCAATGGTTTTCCTGTTTACTTTAGCAATTGTCAAGCTTTGAGCAATCACTTCATACCCACAGCTTGTATGGCAATGAAGTTCAATTGAGCTCAGAGTGAGCTTCAGGGTAGAAAACACAAGAAAAAAATAATAGTGTTAGGAAAAGGGTTATCTGTTTATGTACTCTCCCACCAAAGAGAGTAAGCCTGCCAGTGGTAAGAAGCATTAAATCTTTTATGTTGAATAGGTCTTAATCATAAGAGATGGGGTAATCCTAGCCAAAAGTAGCAGTGGATTGCACTGAGTACATTTAATCTATTTAGCGCACAATTTTTACAAATGCAATATTGATTTTTGCTTCATGTGCATTAATCATGCTGGGATGGGTTCCAAGCCAGTGACAAGCCACAGCTAGGGGTCAAAAAGACCCACGGCAGCCGAGAGGGAGGCTGAAAGCTGGGAGACAAGCCTATGTACTTACAAGGTCAACACTGAAAATTGTAACACACTCTGCTTTCTGTTTGTTCAATCTTACTCTAAAATGTGCTGCCAAGCTTATTTATTTGTTCCAAATGGTTTCTGATTGATTCATAGCTCTATACATCCAGCTGCTTAGGCTTATTTGCCCCCTTTTCCCTCTAACATGTTATGCTTCACTGTGTCTCTCCAGCCCACGCAGTTTTAGCTAAAATAAGATGTTATTGTTGAATCAATTCATCTGAAAAGACACCTCTTTCAAGCAATAAACTCATGTCTGTAGTAAGTGCACAGTTAATAAATGACTAATGAGTCAAAGAGTATTTAAAAATGAACTTTCAGCTTTTCAGCAACAAAAAAAAACATTGCTGATGAACGTCTAGCTCGAAATGCAAAATTGTAGTGTATTACCAATGGAAAAAAAATCTTATGAGAAGAACTACAATGACCAAAAATGCTCTTTTTTACTTTTATAATTGTTTGCTTCACACACGGTAAAAGTAGCCAGGTTGACAGAACATTGAGGCAGCAGAATACTTGTAACGGCCCTAGAAATCAAGTTATTTGATTGTCTTCTGGGTTCCTTCCTATTTTACCCTATGCTGGGAATACGGTAGGCCCAAGAAGATTTGTCTTTTCAGATCCTGTGATATGATCTCCGTGGTGCCTGCTGCTGATGAGTACCCAGGTGACGCTTTGTTATTTCTGCTACCAGTGCCGTACTTCATCATAGGTGGTTCCACCAGAGAGAGCACGGCTACGGATGTCACCTGCACACCTTCCCTGCTGCTGCTATTGTGCCTAGGGCCGCACTTAGGAGGAGTCAAGGGCAAAACTGCCTTTGGCTTGTGGCTCATGCAAAAAAGAATCTGGGCCAGCAGGGGCTGTTAAAAAAGTTTCCAAAAATGTAAGCTCATCTTTTCTTATACACATTCCCTTGAAAAAAATGTACAACCCTACATGAGTAAAAGAAAGTGGCTTACAATTTGATGTGTGTTACCCATGTTTCCAGTT